TGGGTGCTAGTTTTTAAAGCCTGGCATTCTTTGGTAGAAAGGTTAGTTGTGGTATTTTGAATTCATTTTAAAAACAGTAAAAATTGACATCGAGGAGTTTCTATAATGAACTGTAGAATAGAGAAAGCAAGGCACAGGGAAGTCTACGTAATCTGACGCGGTTTTTATAAAACAGTATCAAATGGGGGTAGTGGGTATAGCTCAGTGGAAGGGTGCATGGTAGCATGCACTAGGTCCTGGGTTTCGATCTCCAGTACTTACATTAAAAATAATAATAAAATTTTTTTGAACATACAGTTATTACTGGTACATTACAGTGGTGTAACAGCAGTTCAAGAGAAAGTGTCACCTCAGCAGTGAAACCTTTTTAACCCCATTTTATTGAAAGAATATTTGCAAGAAGGAAACGGCTCCCCAAAGACTTCAAGTCAGAAAGCTCAGAAACAACTTTTCCCGTGTTTTATGTATTTGCCTGCCTAAGAATTCTGTTCTGCTTTCCACCGCATATGGATCTGCTCCAGATCCACAGAAACACTCGGTCTGTAGAAGAGGAGTGGCCATTTAATTTTATGCACTGGCTTTATTGTTTTGATGGAAGTGCTTCTTCCTTCTTGTCTGCGCATCTCACGACCCCGTCTTCTCAGACGCAGGTTCCCTTTCCCGTTATTAAATAGTGTAAACCCATATGTTACAGCAGCCGGCTCAGCAGAGAAGCGCTCCTGACATCTCCTTCACCATTGATGCAAACAAGCAGCAAAGGCAGCTGATCGCAGAGCTAGAAAACAAGAACAGGTAAGGCCCTTTGGCCGTGCTGGCTTTCTTGATCCAAATATGCGTTCATTGATAATCTAGAGTCATGCTTTCAAACACCCAGGTTTTTTCACCCTGTGTGCATAGTCAGGGGAAGCCGTCTGGAGCCAGCGATGCTGGCTTCTGAAAAGCTAATCTTTCCATTTCAGATCTTCAGAAGCTTCACGAGGGGAAACAAATATTTATATATTTCTGAGATGTCAATGCAATTAATGTTTTCTCCCTAGACAGTCTCATTTCCCTTTTTCTGACATGTTATTTTGGTTAAGGAGCCATCTAATGCAGAAGGGCCCTTCTAGGGGCTGGGGGGAAAGTATTTCAGCCACCCAGAGACAAGTAGAAGGCTCGCCAGGTGGAGGGGTCCCCTGAGGATCCCAGGCTAAAGAGGCATTTGGAGTGACACCACCATCAACCAGTTGTTCAAGCCAAACATTGCCACGTCCAGTTCATCAGTAAGTCCTCTCTTTGTTCAACACAGGATGACTCACAGTCTGCCCCCCATGGCAGGTGCCTAAAACCATCCACTTCAACTCCACCACTACCACGCGATCTCACCTGTCATTTTATAAAGCGTAAATCATGTTATTTCCTGTTCAAAACCCTCTGGTGATTTTCCATCACACTTTGTGGGGTTTCCCTTAATTTTTATTTATTTATTTGTTTGTTTGTTTGTTTTTAATGGCGGTGCTGGGGATTGAACCCGGGACCTCATGCATGCTAAGCACACGCTCTACCACTTGAGCTATATCCCCACTCCCACTTTCCATCACACTTTGATAAAACTCACCCCTCTTACCATGATCTGCATGTCCTACCTGACCTGATCCCTGCCTCCCTTTCCAGCCACAGCCCACCTTGTTCTTTACACACCTGCTTCTTTCTTCCTTCACAGCCTTTGAAGTCCTGGTTGTCCTCTCAGCTTAGAAAGCTCTTCCTCAGGGTCTCTGCATGATGGTCCCTTGTCATCGCTCAGGTCTCAGCTCAAGTGTCAGCTCCTAAAAGACCACCTATCTAATCTTTACCCACTACCTCCTACCCGAGGAACCACCCTCTGTACATCTGTGTATGTGTGTCTGTGACATCACTATCTGAAAAAATAGCTTATTAGTGTGTTTCCTTTTTATTGTATGTCTTCCCTGACTGATATGGAAGTTCTTTGAGAACAGAGCCCATGCTAAATAGCCCCTTGGTTCCTGAGCCATGCCTGGTACACTGTACAAGCTCAGTAAATACATACTGAGTGAGAAAAAAATAAATAGCTGAGTCAGATCTCAAACTCCATGCTGAGTAAGCCCCGCATGGGAACAACTTGTACATTCTATGTTTCTTAAAACAGCACCCAACTATCTTAACGCTAATCTCCTTTGTAAGCACTGATGTCACTTCTGAGATCAAACTGGTAAAGGGGGGAGGTTGTGATCACAGTTTCATGCCTGTAGAGTTGGACCTGAGAATTTGGGGATAAACGGTCAAAGTATTCTTTAAAGTTCAGTAGGAAAAAATTAAAAGGAAAGTACAGTTTTGGTTGACACATTTTTATATTCTTAGGGAAAAAAGACTAAAGCAAAAACTCAAAAGCTCACAAATAGCTTATCTGGGTTGCAGTGTTGACCGCCTCTCCCGCCTCTCCCGTAAAGCACTCTGTCTCCCCTGTTAATCCTCTGCTTCCACTCAGCCTGGGGTCTTGAGGGGACATTGGGACTTCCTTTAAGGAAGTACTCCAGGAGTGTCCGCCTCCCTGTGGGATTCCACAGCCAGCAAGAAGCCCCATGGCCATGCTGACGGCCCTGTCTGTGCCATGCTGCAACTCTCACTGCTTGCTTCTAGGACATTTGGGGACGGCACTCTGAATGCACGTTTTTAGACCCAGGGAGAGAATAAAGCAACGGGACTGAGAAGAGCTGACAGGAAGAGAGCTTCCTCCTGTCCCTGAGTTATTTCCCTAACCCATTCGTGAAGAGCCTCCAGTCCACCCTGAACTCATCTCTGTATGCCAGCAGCCTTCAGCCTCCCAAACCCCCCAGAACCACATCCCAGAAGCTCATCCAGGTCACCTTCCTGCCCCATGGAAATCACCCAGGGATCCTATGATCTCCAAAGTGCCAGTTAACCCCATAATCAGATCTCTGGGCTTCTGGGGAGGATGGAGTTTCTCGCTTTACTTCATGGCTGCCCTAGGTAATTCATGGCCATTTCAGCAATGCCCTTTAGAAGATAATGCTTCTTTGTAGCATCCTTAGAGGAGCCAGTTGATGTCAGTATTAGAAATAACAGGACTCTTCACATTACACTGTATATTTCACAGCCTGCCTAGGCTAGACCTGTCAGGATTTCTTTTAAAGAGAGTTTTCCACTACAGAACACCAAAGGGGACCAAGAAAAAGTTGAAAACCACTGAATTATACCCTGAGAGGTGTAGTGACCCACTGGTCATTAGCTCCTTGAATCTGGTGTGTTTGTGAAGCCAGAGGTTGTAAATCAGCCTTTCAGATGAGAAGCCATCGGCCCCCTTGCTCACCAAGTTCACCTTCCATCCTGGGCGCTTTGTTCTGTCTTACTGGCTCCTGTGCATTTCGCTGGAGGGGAGACTGACCCCTCCCCTGAGAATCTGTGACTTGTAACCTTGCTTAATGGCTTCTAACTCACTTAGGGATAATGTGGCTGGCATCGGTCACCTATCCTTTCTGGCCGGCCTAATGTTCACCTCAACGGCAGGGCAGCCCAACCCCAACATCATTAATAGAGTGACATGTCTCACCCCTGACAGGGGTCACACCAAGAACTCTCATGCCACAGACTCAATTATAGCAAATCCTTTTAAAAGCACTTTTCTCCTAAGGCTGCCCTCGTTGAAATCCATTGTGAAGACTGGAACTGTTAAGAAAAAGAGAAAGAATGTGGCCTCACTGGGGGCTTCTCCGATAAATTCAGTGAGAGGAGTTTCATTCCTGGTGAGAGAATGGGGTTATTTAGTTTTGTAAAATGAGCACCATTTATCCTTATTTTCCTGCCAAGCACCTCTTACTTGGTAGCTGCAGGGACTTTACCATGTCGGGCTGTGATCATAAATCAAAGGAAGATTCATTTTTGTCTCTTAAGCCGTGCACGTTTCAAAGTTGAACACATTAGCACGGCATTCTATTACTTACTAGCGCGATGATGAGGTCCTGGTGAGAACCTTCAGCCTGAGGGCTCCGGTGGCATACTGCCGAGTCTTCGTGGTTTGGATGTCCTGGAGATGAAGGTGGTGTCCCCACACCCTTAGCACCCAACTAGCTCCAGTCAGCTCGGTTGGTTAGTGAGGGGTGGCTCTGCTCCAGGACGTAGGGTGAGCCCTGCTTCCTTGGCTCTGACGGCTCGAGATGCTCTCTGAGTTAACTGACCAGCTTTCTTACCTTCCTCCTCTCTCCCAAGAGAAATCTTACAGGAGATCCAGAGGCTTCGGCTCGAGCACGAACAAGCTTCTCAGCCCACGCCAGAGAAGGCGCAGCAAAACCCCACTCTGCTGGCGGAACTCCGGCTCCTCAGGTAAGGAAAGGCTCCCCAGCATCCCAAGAAGGACAGGTGTGTGAGATCTTCACGGAAGCCTCCCAGTGTCCACCAGAACACCGTCCTCGCCCACTCTGGTGGCTGTGGTTTGGCCTTTTTTTTTTTAATAGCACACACCTCGTGGCTGAGATCTGGGGGGCTCGGTGGGAAGGCTGTTTGTATTTTATTTTTCCCTTTGACACAGAGAAAAGGAAACAGCATTCTTTAGCTCCAAAATAAAATGTTTCCCTGGGGAAAAATATTTTTTTATAGTGCACTATTTTTTAATTGAAATACACCTGATGTACAATAGTACATATACAATATATATTATACAATAATGGTGTGTGGTATAGTGATTTGTAACTTTTAAAGGTTATACCCCATGTATAGTTGTTATAAAATATTGGCTATATTCCCTGTGTTGTACAATATATCCTTGTAGTTTATTTTCGACATAATAATTTGTACCCCTTAATCCCCTACCCCTATGTGGCCCCTCCCTGCTTCCCTCCCCTCACTGGTCACCACTACTTTCTTCTCTATATCTGTCTCATGGGAAGAAGTTTGAACTCAACTCTTTTTCGTTATCTGCACTAACAACAGTATGTTTATGATAAAAAGTGATCAACCAGACAAACACGTAAACAACTAAAGAATCATCACAGGTTTTGAAATTTACAAACTTACCTGGGACCCATAAGTTTTCTCTAAATCTTGGTCCCTGATAGCTTCACATAGCTGCCTATCTTCTGGTTCTACCAATGAATGTAAATGCCTGGTGTTATCTAGTCTGTCATCATGAAAGACCTGAGTTGGGAAGGACCTAAGAAGGTCATGTGGTTCAACCCCTGAATTTCAGGGCACTTCTCAGAGTCAGACGAGGAGAGAGCAGTGGGATGTGGATGAGAATTGCGGTGCCTCCGCTGTGCCCACGTGCAGACAGAAAGCCACGCTGTGGGCTCCACGTCACACTTACCACCACGCCCTGAATACGGCACATAATTCCAGCCTGTCTGTGCAGAAAACAACACAGACATAAACTCAAAGACATTCCCCCTTGGAAATGTCCTATTTCTCAAGGCACTTGTAATTAGCAAGTATGACATTCTTTCCATCTTTCAGTTTGAGTGCCAAGTATTTTTCAGGTGTATCTAACTTGGAGGCACACTTTTTGCAGTAAATACGGATGCCTCTTTTCAGAAACCCTTGTCAGAATTAGGGTGCCACTTACTTCCTCCATACAGAGAGACTAAAGGAAGCAGGTTCATTATGGCTATATTTGGGTTTTCCCAAATCCCTGCTGATTATAGTCAGGGATGTTCCTGGGAGTTCCACCCTAGCCCTGCTCTTTGGACACGTTAGTATCTGGGGACTCAGCCCACCTGGCCAGGCTGCAGGCGCTTCCTCTCAGCTGGGATCCAGCCTCCCAGGTTCATGTCCCTGGCTGGAGATGCTAACCCACCAAAGGCTTGAGTTATAGAAAGATCTGCAGAACTGGTAGCTTGTAGAGAAGAGATCACATCATACTTTAGAAGAATAACAGAATTTAATGGAAGAAACATTGATTCTCCCTGTTCCACCTATGTGATTTCTGATCCTCCCTTCAGAGGGGTGTATTAGAAATCCTTGCACGTTCCATGACACCGTGACCCAGAAGGGATGAAAATAGAAAAGAAGGAAAAAGTGATGTTTTACACTCTCCTCCTTCTCAAAAGCATATAAAAGTAAATTATTGCCTGGAAGCATCCTTTGTCAAATAGGATTACGTAGGCCCTCCGGACTCACAAGTTAAGAAAGTGGAGTCTAGTGTACACAGAAATATAACGGAATAAACCAACTAGGAAATAGAATAGTCATTTTCATCTATACCTCAGGGCACCCTATCTCTGCCTGGAATGTACTTTACATCTCTTCCATTGGTCGCCCCACTCTCACAGAATTTGTGGTCTGACAGGAAAATGACATAAATCAAATAATCACACAAAGAAGAATATAATTCTGAACCAAGAAAAGTGCTCTAAGTAATCTTCCTTTAAAAAAAAAAAAAGACGTAACTATCAAACCTGCTACGTCAGTCAGAAGAGGCTACCAGGAGGAAGGATTGTTTGAGTTGAAGCGTGAAAGCAGAGAACACGGGATGGGGATTACGGACAGGGACGGGCGCGGGAGCAGCTGCCGGAAGGGGCTCCGGGAGACAGATGCTCTGTGTACAAAGACCAAATGGCAAGAGCACATCTGGCACTTTTTTAAGAACCAGAAGGTTTATAGACCTAGAATGTAGTGAACGAAGGGGTGCCTGGTAAGAGATGGAGCTGAGGATGTAGGCGGGAGTAGACCATGATGCTATGTGGCCATCCAGACGGACTTTGAGGATATTGCTGTCAATCCAACAACAGGAAGCCCTTGAGGGATGAGAGTTGCATATCGAGTTGCATATCGAGCCCAGTGGATTAGCTTGTCAGGTCAGACTCACCTGCATCAGAGATCTCACCCCAGTACTGAACGTTGCTAATCATTGGAAGAATACAGGCAGACAGGAGGCACAGGCAGAGAGAGGTCTGGAACATTCCATGTAGTTCCCCAGGTTTTTTCTTCCCCTATTGGATGGAGTTTCTGAGGAAATTTTGCAAGGTGATCCAGCGAGCCTTTCCACCATATTGACTTCCACCAACCATGCAGAACTCACTGTCTTCTCAGTTTGTCCTTATTTTTATTACACACTCACCAGCATTGTTTTGAACTTATATCTCCGTCTCTCACACCCAAGGACCAAAACTGTTTCCCCCTCATTATTTTATTTATAGTGTCTTAAAACAAAAGTGCTGAATAGATGTCTGTGGGATGAAGAGATAAACTGCAGAACCAGTGAGACAGCTTAAGAACTGTGTTTGCAAAGACCATACCATCTTCTATGATGAAGAAAACATTCATTAAATCCGTGAAGCAACTTCACATTACAAATCTTGGGAAAAAACAAGTATAAATTTCCATAGCTACCCCTTGCCTTAAAAATAAGCATCATTGTCTATACCCCAAAAGTTGCATTCTTTTCAGTGCATATGAAATTATTCTTTGAGAAAACTTATTAATATAAAGTGGGGTTCTTTTTGTTTTACCAATAAAAATGAAATTATATTCTCTGATGCAAGTCTGTGGTTTCCAGACTTGAATTTCATTAAACCAGTTTCTTAACTTTTGTTTATAATTTTGGGGGAACAACATAAAGTTGAGTACTTTTTGTTTTACCATATGATGACTGTTTTTAAACTACCGTCATCTGTTACCACAAGTTTCATGAGTGGCAGTATGTTTTTTAACTTTTTATTCTGAAAAAAATTTAAGCCTACAGAAGAGTTGTAAGAATATCACAATGAATTTCCTTCCACACTTCACAAAGAGATTGCAAACATTTTGCCATACCATTCTCTATCTCCCTATATATGTTTATATATATAAATTACGTACAGATTTTTGATTAGCAGTTTGAGAGTAAATTGCAGACATCATAACCCTTTACCCCTAAATACTTACGTGTATAGTTTCTAAGACAAAAAAGAAGATATTCTCTCATATAACCATGGTACCATCATCAAATTCAGGAAAGCTAATATTACCATTTAATATTGTTTAATATACAATACGTATTTTGCCTATTATCCAAACACTGTCCTAAAGGAAAGTAGGTTTTGACGCACATGAAAAATTAGAAATAATCTGATAGTATTTCAGAATATTTAGCTCTGTGAAAAGAAAATCACTTGTTTTCTCATTTCTCCTTGGAGGCTATACCACAGATTTGTTATCAAACCCACATTTGGTAACCACTGGTGTAAACACTTACAGAATATATTATTAAATTAATGGGTTTTTTTTAAATTGAATTCAGTCAAATGCATAAAAGAGTAAATGTCATGTTTTGAAAGAATACTACCATAAGATAAATGCACAAATAAGGTTTCTTTCAATGTTGATTAATTATAAACTAGTATCAGCAAAGTTTTTCTGATAGTTTTTGGATGCCTCTCGTAATATTTTTTACCTACAATATTAGAAGTTTGCTTCAACCTTCTTCTCAAAGTGCTCTTATGATCAAAAGACCAAAAATTACAGAGCAGTAGCTAGAAGAGAACTGGAAATAAATCTGAAACATTATCCAGCCTTCTACCAAGCTCTACTGAGAGGATGTAGTTGGAACACTATGTGCAGACAAGGTCAAAGGAGAAACAGATAATGGATTTGTCACTGAAGAATATTCTTGAATTGGGCAAGACTCTCAAAATTACAGTGCTGCAGACTAGAAAGAGAAAGACTAAAATAAGATACCATTAAAGTCTATAAAATTATGATGTTCCTTGTCCTCAGGATTCAGAAAAGAGGCGATTGTAAAGGGAATCAAAGGAAGGATTACTCTGGGAATAAGCTTTAAGTGGCAATAAAAGCCTAAAATATACATATATTCAAGAAGAGTTGAGATGTGTTTATAAATTTTCAATTCCTAATTCATTATAGAGAAAGCCGATATGAAAGCAAAGTAGAGATGTCTCTCTTACATCCAGAGCCTGTCCTCCCACAGAATATCTTGCAATTGGATGAGTCATTGACCTAACTCAGTGTGACATTTTTATATTGTCAGTGTTTCATTTCAGAGTCCCTGCTGTAGCTCGACTTATTTCTGTGTCTGTGCCATTGAGACTAGGCACGTCCATTCATTAACATTAACACATACATGGTTAAAGCATCCACACATTTTTTTAAAATGTAAGCTCCAATATTTCAAAATCAGAGAGAAGCCTTTGGGGCAAGGAAAAAAATTGCACATATTACTTTTTCACTAACAGTCATGAAATAATAGATTTGAAATTGATTTGGGAAGTACACCTCTACTCAAAAATGTGAACCATTAATATTCTCCACACCATTTTATTTCTTTTCCCTCCTTGGAAGATATTTTTGGTACCTCTAGTGTCAACATACAGGATAGAATACAGATTGTCCTTCGTGGTTTTCATTCTCACTGACAGTTTAATAGAAGCTCTGCAAGACAGAACAAAATTAGACACAAGCCTTGTAGATTATTTTCAGTTGGAATAATTGTGTAAGAACTCCTTTATTCTGACTTCACTCTCTGAAGCCAAACCCAAACCAGAAAATTTAGATTGACTACAAAAACCATATACCATGACTATTTCACCTCTGAAAGGCGCCACCTTGCATACCAAGAATTGAAGAGGTGACAAATTTACTTTTCTTAATCTTATTTCCATACATACTGAGGTGACCGGTATTTTCTGCAAGAGTTACATAAGGGTCCTTGGGTTTGGAGCATCTGTGGGATTGGCCTCTTTCAGGGACAGTTTGGTTTTTGTTTGTTATCTGAAGGGGACCCAAAGGCACAACACAAGGCCCATGACATAACATGTGTTCAGAAAAGATTTCATTAAATGGTTAATTCAGGGTAGATGGGAGAAATACCCAGTATTACAGACATACCCATTACAAACAGACATACCCCCAGGCTGTAATTGTTCATTTATCTAACACCATTTCCCTACCTGGAAACCATGTCAAAGACCCAAAGATGCCCTTTTTCTAGTGGTCCAGCAGCACCACGAGATTGGAACGTGTGCTTAGCAGTGAGTTGAATGCTGTTTCTGACAACAACTGCTTCTTTCTTAGACAGCGCAAGGATGAGCTGGAACAGAGAATGTCTGCTCTCCAGGAGAGCCGGAGAGAGCTAATGGTCCAGTTGGAAGGTCTCATGAAGCTACTAAAGGTAAGATATTTCAAATAAATGTTTCTTAGACTTACGACTGTGGCATTTGTTTAAACAAAAATGCACATAATGTGCAATGGTTTTTCCAATTACTATCGTGTGGTTTCCTCCAAGATGTGATTTCAAACTCAGCCATAGGACCTTTTCTTAGACATATCAAATGATAGCAGTCAATTATAGGGCTCATTCGCATCCATTTCCTGGAACCAGACTACTGAGGACCTTCAGGGGACAACTTCTTGGCTTATTTCCAGTTCCTTATGTCCTTCGAAGTAATAAAACTGGATTTATTCAGAAACATTTTACATGTAATTGCCTTCAGCAGTTCTGACTAAATTGAACAGAAGCTAATGTCTAATTCAGGAAATGAAGATAAAAGCATGAAATAATTTTGGTGATTATAGTTTCATTAAGAGGAGTGACTTTGTTAATGTCAGTAAATTTGATCAAATCTGTGTGGCTTTAGCAGCAAGTCACATAATGTCTGTGGGTTTCAAATGCAAACTGTAAATGGGCAAATCTCCATACTTTTCTGCAGGGAGAGGGTGATTTCTGAACATCCTCTGCAGAGTGTTGTAATCTCTGATTCTCACTGGGAAGTGGCATTCTTCCTGTCACAAATCCTTATTCCCTTTTTCAGTTAAAAATTAGTCTAAATTACATTTCGAGTCAAAAGTAGACTAATTATGGCTGCATGTCCACAGCTGCCCCCACACAGAGGTTTCAGTGCTCTGTGGTCAGCCTGCCTGATGTAAATAAGCATGAACCAGTACGGATCGGGATGGTGACATTGCAAAGGCAGGGACTAAAATTCTGACAGAATGACAAGAGCAGAGTCTCTGAGACAGCTCACTTGTGGGACAAGATGTCCTGCCTTTCAGTCCATGAGTCCCCCACATCCCTGACTCCCCATCATTTATTGTTCCTGTATTGTTTCTTTCTTTCTTTCTTTCTTTCTTTCTTTCTTTCTTTCTTTCTTTCTTTCTCTCTCTCTCTTTCTTTCTTTTTTCTTTCTTTCTTTCTTTCTTTCTTTCTTTCTTTCTTTCTTTCTTTCTTCTCTTTCTTTCTCTCTCTTTCTTTCTTTC